ATAAGTGTACTTTAGAATAACTAAATAATCACAATCATGTACTAATATACTTGTAGTAAATATAAAATGTATGAGTTGAGCAAGAAGCTTAGACTGTTCCATTCATACTGGGCCAATAGAAGCCGTCGAAGGGATAAAATTATGGAAAACAAAGTGGCTTAAAGCACAACTTAACCCGACTTGTCTTTCTTTCTTCTTCTTACAATTATGTCCCTTAGTTTTTAAACGTTATCTTATTTATCCTAAAATAATAATTCTATTTTAAAAAGTCGATAATCAATAAAAAAACACATTTGATTCTGATTAAAAGAATAAAAAATATATCGTAGCTCTTAAATTTTATGTAAAAATACTCTCTTCGTTCAACTAAATGTGTCCATTATTGACTTTTAATAGTAAAATTTTTTAAATTTTGACAATAATTATTTTAAATATATTAAAAAAGTAAATTTTATAAAATAGGTATTTAAAAACTACTTGATTTAAGATCTTTAAAATATATTTTTATCAATAATAAACTTTAAATAATAATGAGTCAAAGTTAAAAAGTTTGATTAAAATAGTCAACAAAGGTAGCCCTTTGTTACTCTGAGGTCAGAGGAGAACTGAAAAGAGTCTGTACTATGCGACAATGGTTGCAAGTCAAGATAAGCAAACCAAGAAACTAGAAAATACCTTTGTTGAGGAAAACATTACCTTGCAAGAAGGTGATGTGAGTTTGGAAAGTAATGGTCCCTTCCCAAGAATTAGGTTTTCCAATAGGATACATGACACAACAGACAGAAACATGAGAAGAACATTAATCGTTCGACTTTTGGGAGAAAAAGATCGGGTACATAGCATTATCAACCAAAATCTTGACATTATGGAAATCTGTCGAATCGCTCAAATCGATTGAGTTGAACTAAACGAGTTGATCGAAGCCAAATTAGATTGAATTCAACTATTGATCTTTGACCTAATCTGGCATGTTGACTGTTAACTTTTGTTGATTGTTGATGTTCATTTAACTAGATTTACGTAATCTAAAGTTATAGGACCTAGTACACTGTCGATTAAGGGATGTGTGCCAACCGTTAATTAGAGCACGATAGTATGTCTAAAGGTGTGTCCCTCGCCTATCGCTACATGTGTTTATGTTGAGTGTGTTTATATATGTTGCATGCTTGAGTATCGATTATATAGTATATTGTCTTAGTTATGGTATTTATTGATTTTTTTATTGTTTAAGCATGAGACTGCAATTATATATGTTACATGTACAATTGAAGTTTATGTTCACCGATCTATTCATTTATCGTGTACCGTAATTATAATATGATTTTGGCAAGATTGACCGATCTTTACTGTAATGGCACTCCTCATTTATGTTATATTGAGTTGAATTTGTGAAGTGGAAGAGTAACTGAATGATGGACTGGACTATCCTAATCGGATGGTAAAGTCAAATCACCGAATTACAGACTGGTACATCCTTATCAGATGGGCTCAATTACCAAATTATAGGTTGGTGCTTCCTCATAAAATGGTAATGTCTAATCACTAAGTAACCATATGACGGGTATGGGACAGTGGTTTACATTTTTTTTTGGTTACAAAATGCATTCTGAATCAGTCAGTGTGGGTTCCTTCTCCGCGAGGGAGGCATATCTAACGAGTAAATGCTCTGTGCTTGAGGTGGTTGGTTCTAGGTAAACAGTCAAGCACCTATTTTCATGGTAGATTTGAGCCATCCTATCCGCCAGCTGGCGCCTCTGGGGATGTACGAGATTGTAGTGTGCCAATTCTTGTTAAGGAGCCACCGGATTCGTCTGAGAAGAGCAGATGCATGAAGCAGCGATGGCCTCGTAAGAGATTGCATGATTTCCAAATTGTCAGTTTCGATCTCCAGTTTGTAGGCCTCACAGGACATGGCAACTTGCAGACCATCGAAGATTGCCCAGAGCTCGGCTTAGGCGGCAGAACAACAGCCGATGTTCCTAGAATATCCTCGAATCCAGGTTCCGTTCTTATCTCGGACTCCACCACTGGAGGCTGCTTTTGATGAGGTGTTAACGGCACCGTAAGTGTTGAGCTCTAGGACGAGCATTTTCATTTTATGTTCTTCATTTTATCCTTGGTTGTGGAGGACCTCTGGGGGACGATCTTAGAGAGCTATGGCCCAAGCTTTGGTTGTTTGGATTGAGGAGACTAGACTCCATATTTTCCCACTGAACACGAATTCATATTATATTTGTTGTATGAAAATGTCATGTCTAAATTATCATATATCGTGAATTAATTGTACATTATATCGTGTGTGTTTTGACTCGCACCTAGAGGCCACACTGTGTTCTGTAGCTCACCTTCTTAGTTTTCCTTCCTTTCAGATTCTCTTGACCATTAAGACCGTTCTAATACTTAAAGGATCGACTGGCGATGTTTTAATTCAACATAGTATGATTATTGCTAAACTTTTATTATATTTTAAAATTATTTAATCGAGTTTTGAAGTATTATGTATTTGAATTTTCGGAAATATTCTTTATGTGAAATATTAAACTTCATTTTGACTACCGATTATTCACATGAATTTTCGTCACATTGTCTCAGATATGATGGTACGCTTCAATTACCCGTGACACATGTATTATCTTATAAAGAAAAGGTTGGATGATGAGTCAATAGAATACATTGGTTTTATTTTTTAAATAAGAATTATCTATGTTCAGTCTATTATCTCTACCATTTCCATTGGCAAACCCTAAGTGTTTTTAGATCATTTCATGACATTGACAAACCCCAAGTGTTTTTAGATCCACAAAGCTTTTAACCATAGAGTTGAGGTCTGTTGCTACACAGTTTCGTAGTCTCCTAGGATACAACAACTAAATGATCATGTATAGTAGCACAACAGTAGAGATTATAAATTATACTTGCCTTCGACTATCACCGGAAAACTAATGGAAGAGAAAATATTTTTTCAAGAAAGTTAAAGTTCTTGAATTTTGATATATGAAAACTTATGAACCTTGTGTTTAACCTACCAGATTAACTTATTATTTATAGGGGATTTTCAAGAGAGATTTAACCTAACTAAATGGTTGTCCCTTGTTCCCATATGTAATGGGGTAAGGGGGAGGTAAGATAGTAGGCTGCCCTCAATACCAGGTTGAGAGCAGCTTCCGTAGAAGACCTTCGAATTATGAACTGCCTTCCGTGGGACTCGATCCCACAACCTCAAGGTTAAGAACCTTGTGCTCTACTAACTGAGCTGGATAGTCATCTCATAGATTTAACCTAACTAGATATCTTTTAATATTCAGATGTAAACAAATAATAATATCTTTTAATTTGAAATATTCAAAAGATAAACTCCTTTTACCATTCAAATTTAAAATATACAAAAGTATAAAATTATCTTTAATATTTAAAGTTAAAAAGATAATAAATACCTTTTTAAATTGACATATCAAAAGAGTAATTATCCTACCAATATTCATATTAAAATTATTTTTTAATTTACAATAGTAAAAAGAAATATGAATTTAATATAAATATTAAATCCATCAATTAAATTCACTATTTTTCCATCAATTAAATTCACCCTTTGAACTTTTCCTCGTGAAAATATATTTAAACAGTAAATGCGATGTAATTGAATTATTCTGTTGTTTATGTAAACAGTGACATACTTCACACAGCTACCCCTCGGACAAGAATTTAGTTATCATAGACATGTCATTAAAATTTTAAATAAAGTTTGGATTATAAAATAAAATTATTAATTCGAATAAATTAAAAGTTTTTAACTTAATTCGACTCGACTAGATTGAACGATCACTGTGTGCATAGGTAAGTAACGCTAAACAAAAGGCTTAATGAAAAAAAGTGCCCAAACTATACTTCAAGTTAACTTTGTGCGTCTAAATAATTTTTCGCATAAAATAAGTGTCTAATGTTTTATTCGTTACAATTTTAAGTGTACACATCATAACGACTTTAAAAAACTGTTAGATGACACTTGTGATATTTATAATTTATAACTTTTATTTTTAAAAGAAAAACTTTAGAATATTATTAATTAAAAACTTAAATTTTTTCTAAAATTATAAAAATAAATAAAACCCTGAAATCACTCTTTCTAATCCTATTATTAATCATTCTTTATAAAGATATAATTTAAGTATTTATTTTTATATTAAGCAAAGACAAAAGACATCAAAACTTAAAGGGATGTTGCACCAACCGACCCCTAGAAGAGGGCTAGTGCAGAGGTTTTGCACTAACGTGACTTCGAACCAATCGTTTACATTGGTTGATTGATTGTGATGAGACAACTTGAACCCAAATCTACATTTGAGTATGATTAGGAACTAAGCATGCATACATACATACATACATCCACGAAATGCCATATTATACCATCACCATCAGATTGTAGTTTAGTCACTGTCCAGCCTTCCCAGTTTCCATTCTCCTTCCCTCGTTAAATGAAATAATTAAAGAATTACCTGCTAGAAGAGGTATGTGCCAGTGAAATCTGTACCGGGTGCATGTCATTTTGTTATTATCAGTAATGAGATGTCTGCATACACTTGAAAATGGATTTCACATTAATGGAAATGATGGCATGATGGATTATTTGTGGTGCATATGGATTCCGGTTGTTAATTAATTTATCTGTTGGGTGCTTGATGATGTCAAAAGCCATTATCTTATATTTACTCTGAATGTATTACAAGTTTAATTTTTAATTCGAATTAATAAATTAATAAAAAAATTGATAGTTTTGGTGGGTTGATCGGAAAGCTCCTCCACCTGGCCAGCCACGACGGTTTCTTATCCCACACCTGTCAAAATATGGTGGACACACAGGCAGGATATGATGAAAAGAAAACCAAGTGAAAAGTTTGTTCTTTTCTCGGCTGCAATTAAAATCAGCCGGGTGGGCAGTCAAATGATGAGATGTTGACACAAGAGATAATGATATCTTTATCTGTTACCCTTTTACAAAACTTGTACGAGCAGTCTGCAATTCTTCCTTGCATTCCCAGTTACACAGCCACTTGGTTTTCTTCAAAATCAAGCAAAACGCAGAAAAACGCCATTGAAGTTGAAATTTGATGCCCCAAAAGCAAGACTAAAACCACCACATTGCAAGCTTATTTACACCCATTTTCCCATGTCGAGCTTTGGAGTTAAAGACCAGTCGGCAAGGCCCGAAAGTGTGCCCCCTGACAGCACCAAGACCAGCAGGAAGAGTTTGATGATGAATGACAAGCCTAGGCGGTCCAATGTTGTTAAAGAGAACACAGGCTCACCGGAGAAGAAGAATGGTGTTCATGAACTGAGGGAGAAGCTGAGTGGCAGTGAGGGTTTGGTCAGAGATTTGCAGGCTCAGATGATGGGATTGAGGGCCGAGTTGGATGGGGCAAGGAGTTTGAATATGGAGCTTGAGTTTCTTAATAGAAAACTCAATGAGGATCTTGCTGTTGCTGAGGCCAAGATAGCTGCTCTTTCAAGCCCTCACACTGACCAGCTGCAGCTGCAGGTTAGATCCTTAATATGTACTGTAATTTGCTTATGAACCCAAGATTGCTTTTTTTCTTCTTTTGATAAATATGACCAGTGATTTAAATTGCGGTCGTGTTTTCGATTGTTTTGAGTTTATTATGATTGCGGTTATTGCGAGTAGGAATTTAAATTGTGGTTGTAATCTACTTTTTATTACATTTATCGCGATTGTGAACATAGTGGACTGCGAGCACTATTACAGTGGGTGTGGTATCGTGGTCATACAATAACGGTTTTGGACGATATCATTACTGCTAGGTGACAGCCGCTGTTTAAATCCATGAGTATGATTATGATAAAGACTCAACATTTTGGAACAAATTCCTTTCAAGTTCCAAACTTGTTTTGAGTTATTAACCAAAAAATTTCAGTGTTTTTGTGTTTTTATTTTTTTCATTCATTGAAAGAAGAGGGATTCAAACGGTGAGTACCAGAGCCCCAAATTCAAGGACATACAGAAACTCATTGCCAACAAATTGGACCACCCGAAAGTTGTAAGGGAGACAAGAACAAGTAAAGCGCCCTTAAAGGCAGGTGCTTGTTTGACTCCAAATGATGCTGGAGCACAGACAAATGCACCAATAATTCACTCTCTGCCACCGCCTCCACCTCCACCATTGCCGCCACCGCCTGCACCGGCTCGGTTCCCTGCTAAAGGAGCCACTGCTCCGAAGGCACCGTCTTTTATAGTGGACTTGTTAAGAAGGAAAGAAAAGAAGATGGATCCCCCAGCAGTGGCTTGGAATCCGAAAAAACTGACTATTGTTAGTGTGCATAGTAGCATAGTTGGCGAAATTCAGAATCGATCAGCTCACCTACTAGCCGTAAGCATATGTTATTTTGAGTTAGAGATATAGAACTGGTTGGTTTTTTAAAAATTGATGACCCTTTTGCTAGATAAAAGTCGATGTCGAAACAAAAGGAGACTTCATCAACAGCCTCATCGGCAGAGTGTTGGCTGCAGCCTATACAGATATAGAAGATGTTGTGAAATTCGTTGATTGGCTCGACAAAGAACTTTCATCCTTGGTAAAGTCTCCAAGCTCCCTATGCTATTTGCTTTGATATTGATCTTAATCATAGCCAGTCTTAACCATTCTCGAGTCGCATGTAAGTCTGCATAACAACCATTAGTTGATTGTCATCAAAGAATCTGCAAACAGAAACTAGTTTGTTGAATTAGGAGATATTTCTTTTCGATGATGAACAAGTTCTCCATGATTTTAAGAAGTTCAAGCAAAGGTAGCAGTTGTAGGATATAGGTGATGGACATTCGAGTTATTTGCCTTGCTCGTATCCTGTTTCTATAGGCTGATGAGCGTGCCGTGTTAAAGCATTTCAAGTGGCCAGAGAGAAAAACAGATGTTATGCGAGAAGCTGCTATTGAATATCGTGATCTAAAATTGTTGGAAACAGAGATTTCTTCCTACAAGGACGACGCTAACATTCCATGTGGAATTGCCTTGAAGCGGATGGCTGTGCTACTAGACAAGTAAGGCTTGCAAGAACTGTACTCTAGTTTATAGTCCGAGTTCTCAACTATTTGGGATTTAGTCTGGAAACTGAATGGTTTGGCCACCCATGTAATCGTGCTAGGTCGGAAAAGAGCATACAAAGGCTTATCAAGCTGAGAAATTCAGCGATGCGTTCTTACCAGGAGTGTAAGATTCCGGTCGATTGGATGCTTGATTCGGGAATGGTGTATAAAGTAAGCTTACAATACATAGCAGGCTTCACATTGAACTGCTCTTCCTCCTTCACCATGTCACGAATAAGCCTTGTAATTTTGTAGATAAAGCAGGCTTCGATGAAGCTGGTTAAGATGTACATAAGGAGAGTCGGAACCGAGCTTCAAACGGCACGCAGTTTGGACAAGGAATCTGAACAAGAGGCACTGCTGCTTCAAGGCATGCATTTTGCAAATAGGGCTCACCAGGTATTTTTAGTTCCTTGTGTTTATTAAAACTTGTGGCTTGCTTTGTTGCTTATGCCTATGAAAATGTTCCTTATATAGCTCCTGCTGTTTGCGAACAGTTTGCCGGAGATCTCGATTCGGAAACGTTGTGTGCTTTCGAAGAAATTAGGCAGTGCATTCCGGGACACCTGGTCGGATCGAAAGAATTGTTGGCAGGAATATCATCGGCATGAGTCGCATGGCTGTTGTATGGATCAGAATGTTGGGCAACCAAGAAGGATCACGTAAGGAGGATTGAGGCCGCAGAAATGAGAATGCTTCGATGGACATGTGGTAAGACTCTGAGGGATATGACGACAAACTCTGCTATTAGGATGTCCTTGGGGGTGGTGTCTGTTTCCGAAAAATTGAGGGAGGGAAGACTACGGTGGTTTGGGCATGTCCTTAGGCGACTACCGTCGGATGCGGTAAGGAGGGTAGAGTCGATTACAGTCGACGGTGCCAGAAGGAAAGGACGACCAAGGCGAAAGTGGGAAGACTGCTTGAGATCTGATTTGAGGGATTTAGCCCTTACCGAAGACATGACCTCTGATAGGAAAATATGGAGGCTAAAGACTAGGGTAGTCGAGTAGTGTGGGTCACATCTATAGGGTGTATCACCTCTGTCTTCTTTTAATGTCTTTGTAGTATTTTCCATGACTTATACTTTTTATATGTTTCTGTTATTGGTATTTATGAAGGATTAGAACTGGGCTTGCTAACGTTTACTTCTGTGTATCATTCTCTTCATGTTTCCTCTTTTAAATTTAGCCGGATCTTATCTTATGCTTATGTCTATATGCAGAGATTCTTTCGCAGGGATAATTATGCAGGGATTAATTCCCGTTACAGACGCACATATGATTTTAATGACTGCATATGAATACTGTTTAGCTATGTATTTATGTATTTATTTATACATGCATTGCATTTGATCTAAATTTTTAATTTTCTGACTGCCGGAGGTCTTCCACGGAAGTTACTCTCAACCTGGCGTTGGGGGTAGCCTACTACCCTACCTCCCCCTTACCCCATACATATGAGAATTGGGTTTTGTTGTTGTTGTTGTTGTTGTTTCATTTTGTCCTCTGCAGAACGAGTAGTACTAGTTGTGGAAACATACGCACATATATATATATACACATACCTATATATATACATATGTATACATACATGTATGTATGTATTTAATATTAATATAATATTTTAATGTCATTTTAATGAAAATGTTAATTATTATAATATTTAAAATATATTTATTAATTTTTTATAATATAATATAATATTCTTAATATTATAATAATATACATTATTTTATTATATAATATTTTTATTATCATAATATATAATATATTATTGATAACATTTATATTATTTGTTAACTTCATGAAAATAATATTACTATGAATAATATTATTTATATATTTCATATTAATATAATAATAGTCTAGTAATATGTTAATAAAAATATTTAAAAATATATTTATTAATAATTTTTAAAAATATAGTACAATATTTTTAATTTAATAAATAATTAATACAAATAATTTTTTATATCGATCGAGTATATTAGTCTTAATATTTTTTTATATAATTATAGAAATCATAATTTGATAATAATAATGAATAAATTATTCTAATATTTTAAAAATAATAATATTAAGTTTTACACCTTTTTAAGACATTTGGAGGAGGGAAATCAAAAGTTGAGATTAACAGTAAAAAATGATAAGATATTCACTGAGGAAAACGAGTTAATTCTAGCATTTGATTTCTCTCATCCAACGATTCTAAAAAGATATAAAACTCTTAATTTTATACCGGGTGTAAGTGGATTCTAACCTTTATAATAAATAATCTTATTTATTATATTTAATATTTTTCAGAAAAGTTCTCTAAGAAATTTATCAAGTAGTGGAAATGATTTACCCATTTTTCAAACACTAGAAAATGTTTTCAGTAAAACAAATGGACCTTAGTGACTTTTTTTTTTAAATTTGTCATAAAAGATATATAATTGATCACCAAATGTGACGGAAAAAATCGACACCACCAAATGTGACGAAAATAAAAAAAAAAGTCGACACATTTTTAATATATTTTATGACATTATTCATAATATCATAAAATTTCCATCATAAATTGATAAATTTAGTATAATGTGGATACTGGTTTCCTTCATTGCGCACACTACACTAGTTACATCTCTCCATTATAGGAATTTAAATAGCAGTTAACTGTCATAATAGTGTTTGTTATATAACAGTAACGGTGTCATCTGATGTTGATATTATATGATTTTAGTAGTCGCAATCACTATAACAACATCTATTATATCTGTAGTCGTTATAAACATAAGACAATCAAAATTACGATTGCAATCGTAATTTAAAACCGAACCTACAACGTTGCTATCAATATATTTAGAGTGAAAAAATAATAGTTTCATTAATCTGGTTTATGTAGCACTAAACGTCGTTTTAATTTCATTTTAATTTCGTAAATTCAAACTCGATTTGAACTCGAAATTTCCCAAATAACTCAAAATTTAAAAATAAACCCTTCTTCTAAATCAAATCAAATTTTGTTCACCCATCATCAATGTCTTCCAGAGATGCCCTTTAATTTAATTACTCATTTTACTTTCCAAGATAGTAGGTATATTACATTTATAGATTAAGAGCTGCTGTTGTTTAACCAATGGAAGGGGTATATATATAATACATGGACAAGTGACCCCTTCACATGAATATAGAATACTCACAGCTTGGCATACTTCTTGAGGTTCTGTCCAGCATCCTTTGCATGCTCCGGCACCGGCATGTTGCACATAAGTGTAACTCTCGACGACGATACCAACGATCTGTTGTTGCTCTCCAAACTTTGATTCGAGTCCCCGGTTTTCAATAGTCGCACCTCCCATACCTATCATATCCCAATAAAAATTAAGATATCTATCCTCGATTACAAATACTAATCATTTTACCCTAAAATTAATGTTCTGTCAAATGTAGGGGCCTCTTTACCCTAAAATAAAACGTTATAGCTAAAATCTCTAAAAATAGGGGCCAAAATAATATTTTACTAAATATTGGGGGCTCATTTTATTATTATACCAAAAAAATTTAACGACAACATTTCAGTAACTAACAAATAAATCGGGACCACAATAAAAAGAATACAATATTTCATAATTATTTATTCTCTTATGGATTATGATATGAAGTCTCAAAGCGTACCTCAATCATTAACATTTATTTATATAAAGGTACGAATTAAAAAAAAAGGGTAGACTACAAATTTAATACCTCAACTATCATTTTTATTTTATTTTAATATTTAAACTTATCTTTGTTTTAAAATCATACCTAACATTTTTTTTATTTTCGATACCTTGCAGTTAAAAACCTAACAGAACTGTCGTACATGTCACATTTTTATGATTAAATTGTATTATTTGTCACTCAATTATCTATTCACTCGTATTTTGGTCACTAAAGTTTAATTAATTTTAATTTAATTACTTAACTTTAAATTATTCTTAGTTTAATCATTCTAACTTTTAAATTTATTTTTTAATTATATATTAATAAAATAAAAAATATATCATAAAAATTATTAATAAAATAGAATAAAGTGATGAAAACATGAGCAATTTAAAAGTTGAGTAGTTAAAGTGAAAATTTTTAGACTTTATTAACCGTGTGAAGATAATTGAATTATGAATAATGTAGTTAACCTATAAAAAATTCAATACCGTTAAATTTAACGGTGGGTACTAAATTGAATCAAAGTAAACATTAGGTATAGTTTTAAAACAAATGAAAATTTAGATACTGAAATAAAATAAAGATTATAGTTTAGATACTAAAATTGTATTTTACCCATAAAATGTATAGCGGACAGCGGTAGGTAAACGAATTGATATAAACAAATAAAAAGATTCTCAAAACTTTAAGGTCCGCTAAATTTTACTAAACGTGATTTAATTTATATTTATTTGTTTACTTTTGATATATGGTCTATAGGGACATTAATGGTCAGATTAGATTAAATTTTTGACTAATATAATTTAATTAATAAATATATTTTTATTTATTTCTGATATGATTCAAATTTAATAAAATTTTATTCAATCCAAAATTTAACTCTAATTTTAAGATAAAAATTTGTATTCGATCAATCTGACGACTATATATATATATATATATATATATTACTTGAGAAAACAAAGAACTAACTGAAAACAAATATAAAAGAAATATCATAATAATTATCGATATATTTATATTATATTTTAGATTGATTAAAAATATTTATTTTAAATCTAAATTTGACTTAAGTTTAATTTTTTTTATAAAAAAAATCACTTTTTAAAATAAATTGAATCAAAATTTATTGAATTCAGTTATCATCTTTTCGTGGATAGTGATTTATAGTATAATTGTAATTTAAAAATAAATAAAATCTAAATCGGTAAGAATATGCTTACCTGAATAGTCCTGCCGATATTAACGGGGGTGGCTTCGACAAATATAAGGTCACCGAGTTCAGCGCGCTTTAAGTGGTTGATGCTAAGGTGGATCCCCGCCACTCTTTTGAAACCGCCGGCAATGTGCGCTCCCATGCTAGCCAGCGACTCCGCTATCAGAGCCGATACTCCGCCGTGCAACACCTTAAACGGCTGTTCTCCCAATACAATTCACAGGATTATTAATCCAAAAACAAAAACAAAAAAAAAACAAATAGAAAACAAACAGAAACCGCGTAATTGGAACCTGGCAGCACTTTTGAGTCACACGGAGGAGACCGGTGACTTTGGTCGGCGACAAGTCTTGTATCTGAAACCCAAACAGATGTAGCGCCGAATCCAGAGCGGCCGTCTTGACCGAAGACGATGAAGACAACGATTCGTCCATTCAGCGAGTAAACGAGAAACCAACGGTCTGCTTTTGAGGATGATTTTTGGTCGTCAACACACTTAGACCTTTGCTTTTGTTTCTCTTTTTTCCATATGAGAGGATAAAGTGACGTGAGAAACGGACACGGACAGGATTTATATGTTTACCCTTTTGGAACGGCCACACACAACGAGGAAAAAGCAAAACAAAGCGAGGGTAGTTTTGTACATTAGTAGAAGAAAAACATTAAAAATTTGAAGTTGAGTTTCGTATTCCCAAAGGATTTTGATAGGAAAAAAAATAACCTTTTAATTTTTTTAATTTTTTTGTATATTAATAAATTTTATCATTTATTTTATATATGTTAATATTTTTTTAATATTTATCAAATATTAAAAATATTATTTTTATTATAAATCTAAAATAGTGATTTTAAATATATTTATAGAAAGTTATCTCTTATTTAAAAGTTTAACATTTATAATTAATTTAATATTATCATTTATACGTGTAATGAATACGTATATCTGTACAAGAGTTTTGGATCAAGTATACAAACTCTCACTAAATTATAATTTATTATTTGTTTATTATTTAATTTAATATATATATATATATATATAATATATTAAACTTTTAATTTTATTACGAAACGAACTTCAAACCATTAATTTTCATTAAATATTCTTTAGGAAATGATCTCATATTAAATTAATTGACAATATATCGTTTAAATCTTGAATTGTAACTAAAATTTTATTCTCGTATTTTTTTAGTATTTATTAACAATAATTCTAAAAAAAGAAAAATCAGTTTTATTTTAAAGTTAGGTTAGGTTCCATATTCCCGAATGATTTTGATAGAAAATTTTCAAATTTTATATTTTAAAATTTTATTTATGTATATATTAATAAATTTCATCATTTATTTTATATACATTAAAAAAGTTAGTAATTAAATATTAATTTAATTAAATAATGTTATTATTGTAACATCTAAAATTGTGACTTTAAATATATTTATACGTAATTATCTCTAATTTAGAAATTGAAATTTCATAGTTAATTTAGACACAATAATTTATACGTTTAAGAAATATTTATATCCATGTTAGATTTTAGGATAAAGTATTAGTAATGTTATTAAATTATGATAAAATGATTTTTTAGTAATTTAATTTTAGGTAAATTACGTGTTTAGTATCTAAACTATCAGTTTTGGTCTGTTTTAGTACCTAAACTTTCAATTTTTTCAAACTCATACCTAAAGTTTAGTTTTGTTTCATTTTAGTACCTCACCCTTAAAAAAATTTAATTTTTGTTTCATTTTAGTACCACGTTCAACATTTAACGTTAAATTTTGAAAAATTTAAAAATTTAGGAAATAAAACGACCAAAATTGATAGTTTAAGTACTGAATGTGTTAAGTGTTTAACGATGAGATACTAAAATATAAACTAAATGATAGGTATAGTTTTTGGGGGGAAATGAATGTTTAGGTACTAAACTAGACCAAAATTTACAATTTAGGTACTAAATGCTTAGTTTACCCTTTAATTTTTAAAAATTACAAAATATATATTAAACTTTTGATTTTATTATAAAATAAACGTTGCGTCATTACCTATTGTTAACTGTTAATTGTAATGGTGGATAATCAGAATGAAACCAAAAGATAACCGTAGACATGATTTTAAAAGAGAAAATAATTGGATAACCAAAATAAAACAAAAGTGATAGTTATGCTGCCAAACGTGTAACTTACCCTTAATAAATCATGTTTTTTTTATTAAGCCAAGGTGATTACAATTATAATAAACGTTCAATGACCCTGCTGCAGCAACTGATGCTCGAACTCGTGACCTCTAGAAATAACAGTAATTTCTTTAACCAACGAGATAATAATATAATGTTAGGTCAAAGCAAGAGATAAATAAATCATTCGACAAATCCACGCGTAAAACATGAACATTAATTTTTTGTTTTTCCGGACTTCACTCTAGCACGCTGGATTATTTTTTTTTAGGTCAAATAAATGTTAGCTGATTAGGTATAACCAACGGATAACATATGTAAAATATGGCTATTTCAATTTAGACCGCTTCTATGACATGGAGCCTCTAAGGAACTGACCTCTATTTTTCATTACCTATTTAAAATTTGTTTTTTATGCGTTTGTAAAACCACTCAACTTAATCTTAATTCAATAACAAAACAAGAAAGAAATCGAAATAATGTATTTGTCTCATATATCAAAGTATTTCGAAATAAGGACTTTCGATTTTTATTTTTAATATTTGGAGTTGGTACATTAGATACATAATATAGCCAGGGTGTAACATCCCAAATTATGGGTTAGTGACCAATTTGTAAAGTTTCAGAATTTGATGACTAAAGTAGAAGAATGAAATAGTTCAATGATTATTGGATATATATGATGAAGGTTATTTAGTAATTATTAAAGGAAATAAAGGGTAAAATGGTCATTTGATCATTTAAGGAATTAAAAATGGAATTATATATATACGTGGAAAGGGAGAGAATTCTCCAGAGTTCTCTTCTCCTTTCTTCTTCTTCTTCACGTGGAAGCCAAGAGCCAAAGGTAAGTTTTTTTGATTATAAATGAATTGTTGATTTTAAGGTTGGGTTTTCATTATTAGATGATAACTAAGCTTAAGGAAAGCTTAAATCATCTTAAAAACAAAGGATGATGGAATTAGGAGAGATTAAAGATTTTGAGTTTTTGAATGAAATCTTGAAATAAAGTTGATAAGTTGAACTTTAAGTTGAATTTGACTTGTCAATAGTTAAATTAAGAGATTTGGAGTAATAGAATTGGATTTGAAACATATTGCAGAATTGATGTAATTATTGAATTACATATGGAAGATAGGATTTTGAGGTTTAAGATGAAATAAATGAATATAGATTGGTTTAAGTATGTGTACTTGTAACATCCCAAATTATGGGTTAGTGACCAAATTGTAAAGTTTCAGAATTTGATGACTAAAGTAGAAGAATGAAGTAGTTCAATGATTATTGGATATATATGATGAAGGTTAATTAGTAATTATTAAAAGAAATAAAGGGTAAAATGGTCATTTGATCATTTAAGGGAAAAAAATGGAATTATATACACGTGGAAAGGGAGAGAATTCTCCAGAGTTCTCTTCTCCTTTCTTCTTCTTCTTCACGTGGAAGCCAAGAGCAAAGGTAAGTTTGATTTAGCTTTTGATTTCTTGAAAGTTTTAAGTTGGATTGGAGTCTTTGAGGGTTATATAAGCTTAAGGAAAGCTTATATAAGTTTAAAACACCAAAGAGATAGAATTAGAAAGGAATTTCTATTAAGGGTTTATAAATGAACTTTTGTTATAGAAAGGTTTTTGAAGTTCTAAAGTTGGATTTGACTTGCCATCAGCTTAATTAAGAAGTATTAAGTGTTAGAATTGGATTTGAAACATGTGGAAAATAGGGTATGATTCTTGAAATTCCTAAAGAGGAGAGGATATTAAGGTTAAAGATGAGATAAATGAATATTAATGAGTTTAATTATGTATATGAAAGTTTGGAATATGAAAGGGTTGAAATATGAAGGATTTAATCCAAAAAGAAGGATTTTTCGGGTTCAAAAAGAGGTTCTGGGCAGAGTGCATCGATGCATATTCATAGTGCACCGATGCATCAATGTTAAAACCCAGAAATTGTTTGAAGGTGTATCGATGCATTGGTAGTGCATCGATGCACTCTTTTAAAATAAATACATCGAATGCAATTTGTGCATCGATGCATAAATAGTGCATCGATGCATCCCATTAATAAGGAAACATCGAATGCAATTAGTGCATCGATGCATAAGTCATGCATCGATGCATCCCAGTAATAATACAACATCGAATACATTTTATGCACCGATGCATCAGTAGTGCATCAATGCATACCTTCATTAAAAGATGAAATTGACTTTTCTCTTGGTCTAAAGAGTGAACCATTAGAGTATATTAGTTATAATACTAATATATCTATGTATGATGATGTAGATATAGAACGTGATCCCGTTCCGGATCAATTGAAGGATTATAATCGAATCAAAGCAAAGCTAAGGTGAGTGCACATTCTCTAGTATATGAGGTTCAAGGGAAAATAAGACTTGTGATAAGTCTATTTCTAATAGTGAAAAACATGAATTCATAGAAGTATGTATTTGTTATGATTTATATGTGTGCATGGGTATATGTGTTATTGATATGAATATGGTAAGAAAAAGGGATTAATGGTGATGATAAGAATAATAATAAGGATAATGAAGTGATAGGTATATGTGAATATAGGTATTGATATGTTTTGTATGTATTGTAAGATGATATGTTTATGTGATAACATGATAAGATGACAATGAGTTACATGTCATATGAACACATGAGAAATGTTATGAGCCATATGAAAGAGAAAGTATATGTGATACATGAGGGTGAATCCTATGTGACATATGAATATGAATTCATATGAAAAGTGACATGAATTACATGAAAGAAACTACGTGATTACATGTATATGTGAATGAAACCATGAGCTTATATTAATATATGATATGGTTACATGAATATGTAAAAGGATATAAAAGATAATGCCCATGTTATGTGTCATGAGAGCTAGGGGTATAGTTGGCATGCCAAGAGTCGAGGGTCTATGTGGTCCTTCGGGACATATATGTATTCTTTGGAACATGTGTGAAGTCTGGTGAGACACATACTTGATCCTTGGCATATGTATATGATTCTTAAGGAATGATATGTGGTCCTTCAGGACATATATGTATTCTTTGGAACATGTGTGAAGTCTGGTGAGACACATACTTGATCCCTAGTATATGTATATGATTCTTAAGGAATAATATGTGGTCCTTATGGACATTATTATATGGCACTACGGTGCAATTCTACGCGGCACTCCGGTGCAACTCTATGTGGCACTTCGGTGCAATTATATGAGCTGTGGTGACAGCATTAGTGCACAACCTCTATGTACTCACATATCTTTAGTTCTCA